GCCAGCCTTCTAACCGCTAGACCACGGCTTAAGAAAGGAAAAATGTTGAAGCAGGCTAGAACTTTCAAACACTGGGTGGGGTAGAGCAGACCATGGACCAAGGTCTGAAGAAAAGATGGTGACTTCTGTGTTGTCAATAAATTCCCTGCTTGTTGTTGAAACCATGAGATTCGTTATCAATTTTGCAAGAATCTGCTGCAGAACCATATCTTCAACCATAAGTCCCCTCATACTTTATCCATTTCAATACTAACTATTCATACATCTGTGGCCTATTATTTGTATTTTATGAAAATTGTGTTTGTAGCTCAGGCTGTGTAGCATTGAATGATGTATGTTTAAATAAATTGAAAAGGTAATGTCTTGGTATTTGCCTGGAGTGACTGAGGAAAGTCACAACTCTCAAGCAGCAGATGAGATTTGAACCCAAGACACAATGGAGTGCTTGGTGGTAGTAGTAGAAGTTTTATTCGGCAAAATACGGAAAAATATGACGAGGGCAAAGTTGCTGAAAATAATGTTTCCAGTCTCCAGTGCTGGAATTTGTCCATTAGCACCGTTATGTACTATACTGTGTATCATCAATAGCATGAGCCACAGCGATGTTTTCGATTTGATATGACAGTTCCCTCTCTAGTCTTTGTGGTCTTCTTGGTTGCGTTTTGTGTATCCTTGGTATCTATGTTCGGTACCAATTCCCTTGACATCGGTATGTTGGTCAAATCTGTGGATATCAATTGCGGGCTTAGAAATGTGTCATAGACTGGAGTGTACTAGTTTCTTGTTATGAGTTTTGACGTAACAAACAATATAAGGTTCTTTTTGGGTGTTGTGATTTGAGTACATTCGGTTGTAATGGTTGAAGTAGTTCCAATAAGGAATTCCTTCGAACTTTTGTCATGCATATCATATATTAATGTAATGTTTAGGTAATAATGATGCAGTTGAGCTGGTAGTTTTGCATGTGTGTAGATGGTCAAAGGATCGAACCAGATTCGAGTCAGCATCGTATATGTCTTATTATTTGCAGTGGTAAATATGTTGCATACTTATTCATAATTATTATCATTATTGTCTATTATCAAGTATTGGAAGAACTTGCTACATAATTTAAGGTTATGCCTATATTAAAGTTGGCAGGTATAACCTCAAAGGTTCACACTTGTTGTGTTTGTAATGGTATACCCACCTGTAGCATTTCATACAATAATATGTACAAATGCTTGTAATCTATGTTCATACCAAATTTTGTGCAAGTTGGCCAATTAATTCAGAAGCCAAAAAGGGAAAGATTGATTTGTGCACACAGTGATCTTAGCCCACTTTTTAAGAAGTGGAATGAAAAATGGATGACAGTGGAGAAAGTCAGGCTCTCTTGATGAAAGAATTCATGTCAGAAAATGAACCCTATAGAATTGAAGGTGGATCAAGTTCAGGCGAAGAATCCTACAACCAGTCAGATGGATGGTGGGATGGGACTGGCTCCAGTTGTAGTTCTTCCTCGTGTTATGCTTCAGATTCTTGCAGTGGGTAAGTTGTACATACCACAGGCCCAAACACTGGTAAGCAAGTTGACCTGTTTTATTAAACTATTCCATTACTTCCGGTCTTTTGAAACAACCCCCTATAGATAGCTGTGTTTGTATAGGCTTTCCTAACTCTTTGCAGTCTTACCCCATTTTGTAGATAAAATTATGAATGAGGTTGATTTCTTGGTTGCTGTTTGCATCTCAGTTTTGAGTATTCTGGTATAAAATAACATGGGAAGATTACTGAATTACAGTAGTGATGTTTTTCATAATATCAAAGTATATATTGTTTCCATTGGTGAATCCAACATTGATTGGACTTACCCATTACATTTATGAATCCATATTACATAACTGTTCTGTTTCATCTTTGTTGAATATTTGTATATATTATTTACTATTATGTGTAATAGTTTTCTTTTATGTCTTGAAAGATCGGAGTTGGACTGGGAATTGGCAATAGATCCTCGAGGAGAGCTGTTTTATATAGATTCAAATCCGCTTGAGAAATCAGAACATGATTCTGCAGGAACAGCAGAAAAGGCAGATGCTCCTAAATACTTGAGCACATTTAATCGAAATAGATGTACTACAAGAGGTTTGTCACAAGAAATAGATTTTAAATTGTGATAGTTGTTAGAAGTAGAGAATTATATAACAGATACTGTTCAATTTAACCAGTTGTGTTAAGATTAGAAAGTTTGCTGTTATGATTCTAAGATTTTTTCTTACAAGAAGAAGTGAAAATACACAACTTACCTATATAATATATTGCATATATTTATACCTTACATACAAACTACAGCCTTTAGTTTTTGTCAGTTTCACTTGAATTAAGACAAATTTTTCTTGGGAATTTTAGTTATAATGTATTTATTAACACATTTTGTCATTCATTGCTTCTAAACACTTGCCTGTAATTATGTAGGCCATTAATAACAAACCATATTTCTTATAATGTCATAGCATGTGCCTGCATGAGAGAGGAGAAATTGAGGAGAAGCAGTAATACAATGGGGATACCTCTTAGTGTCCAGGCAGTAGCTAACAGAATTGCCATCTGTGATGATGTAACTGTTACTATATGATTTACTGGTGTTGTAAGTTAAAACCCATGAGGCAGACAAATATATTAGTTAATGCTAGACATGTCATAAGATATCACATTTTTACCCATTAATAACTTCATAACAGAAATGCTACATACTTTCCTTTGACAGCCAAGCTTGTACAACTTATGAGGAGAAACAGCAAACGGCAGTTTAATAAGATTGTCACCACAGGAGTAGAAAATCAGCCAGCACAGACTCAGGGTGAGGTGCCTAATATTCGAGCAGCTACCATTAATAAAGTTACATTCCAGGATTGGCAGGTGTGTATGGCATCAGTATTGAGCCATGGTTAAGTATTAAGTACTGGTACAATCTTTATGGAATATTTAAACATGTTTTATACAAATTATATTTTTATCCTTTGTTATATGTCTTATTAGTATACCTCGTCTTTCTGTTCAAATCACACACCTTTGCTGAAGCTTGCCTACACAGTTTTGAGGATCACCTGGAGTGGACCATTTTCAATTATGCATTTATTTTAAACAAATCCACTCATTGTTATTGTAGCATATAAAGCATCATTACCAAATGCAGTTTATGTGATGTCAAGGTGATATTGGAAATTTTATGTGCCATATAAATCAAATATGTTTATTATTTATGCTCGTAGGAAGGTGAAGTTCGTGAAGTGAGCATTTCTGTTGATCCACGAGGTTGTCACAACCTGGGTCGCCGTGCAACCCTGTGTGAGACTGTTCTTGGACTAGTGATCAGTACCTTTGCAGATGAGACACGTATTATGATTGCTGGATTTATTCCCAATGGTGAAGCCATTAAACACCGCAGTATCAAAGTTGGTATGCTCACAAGAACAGTTTGAAATAAATTGTTTTAGCAGTGAGCGAAACATATATATGTGAAGATGTCACATATATCTTTATAATTATGTGTGGTTTAATTTCATACTGTTGTGTGAAGTTGACCACAGTAAAATTTGGAATGAATTGTCCATTTCATATATATTTTTATTGTATAAAATGTTTTTATCTCTCATCCATTTCACGATATATAAAAACATGGTACATAATCACAGTATTGTGAATGTACTGAGCCCTCTCGGCCCCCGATCCAGTGGGTATCTAAAGCTCTTTCCTCAATAGTAAAGCGGCTATGGCATGTAAGTGTCCACACACATTTTACTTAGTACTGAGTGGAATGTGTGCAGGTTTACCTCCACTTTTATCCACATATCTTAATGGCATCAAGCCTAGTTACAGATCCAACTTTGTTGTGAAATTAAATGAGCAGATATCAAGTTTCCTCAGTTCTGTTCCCTTCATTCTTATCATTTATCAGAGTCTTCATTTTCCTCTGTATATCCTTTATTTTGCGCAATAAAGGATAGCCAGTTATTCATGAATTCATGTACTATATCATTTATATAAGTATCTTCATATTTCACTGTTTCCCTTCTTGTTTCATGTAGCTACATTATTAATCTTTTCTTTACATGCCTGCAGTCAGCTTTTATATTTCATGTCTTGTTTTTGTTACCTTCACACACCATATTATCCATTTGATATTGCCACCATTTTATAAAACTTTAATGTTATGTCTTATTTTATTTTATTTTTTTGTATGCATTTGATTCTTTCTTTG